TCTATCTATCTATCTATCTATCTATCTATCTATCTATCATCTATCTATCTATCTATCATCTATCTATCTATTTATCATCTATCTATCTATCATCTATCTATCTATCATCTATCTATCTATCATCTATCATCTATATATAGTGTGTGTGTCTGTGTATGCCACAATGTGCATGAGGTGGTCAGAGGAAAAGTTAACTTGCAGGAGCTGACTCTCTGTACCACATGGGTTCCAGGGATTGAATTCAGGTCTTCAGACTTGGTGATAGGCAATTTACAGCCTGAACCAGCTTACAGGCTCAGTGATTCTATTTTTTATTTTTTAAAAAATATCTTATTATTTTTATTTTATGTGTATGAGTGTTATGCTTGCATGTAGGTAAGTGCACCCATGTCGTGCAGTGCCTGCGGAGGACAGAAGAAGCTGTTGAATCCCCTCAAACTGGAGTTATGGACAGTTGTTAGCTGCCATGTGGGTGCTAGGATTTGAATCTGGGTCTTCTGCAAATACAGTTGGTGTTCTTAACTGAGCCATCTCTCCAGCCCCAGTGATTCTATTTTTAAGAAGAAATTAACGCAAGACCCTAACTAATATGAAGTCATATATAGTAGATTGAGAGAGTTCCAAGTTCAATACTAGAGATTTTTGTGTAGTTAGAACCTCATTTAAAAACAATATGCACACATTGTTGTGAATAGAAATAGTTTTGTTTTTGTGAGTCTGGCTGGCCTAAGACTCACTATGTATCCCAAACTGGTCTCAACTTGTAATCATCCTGCCTCAGCCTCCTGAGTGCTAGGATAGAATTTATTTAAAAAGAGATATTCCTAGAGAGAAAACATTCACCAAGTTACAGAGGCCAAGGAAATTTTACATATGGTGGTGCTACCAATTCAATGAAACTTTTGTGTTTGCATTTTCAGAGCAGAGAAGAAGGCAAAAGGGAACCAGGGATGGCAGTAGGTGGAGTCCCTGGGAGAAAGATTCAGGGTCTGAGACAGGTGTAGGTGCAGTGAAGCAGCCCTTGGGCTCTGACTTGGCCTGGGGAGAGCTGTTTTCCTGACCACCACGTGTCCGGTGGTCTGATGACTTTCTTCTTCTTTCAGAGGAAGGCACCAAGTATCACCTGAATATGGCAAAGGAGTACTGTTCTTCATGTCATGTTTGGTTTGTTCCATAGATGGAGATGAGAAGCAGGAAGGGCTGAAATGGCTTGCCGAGTTAGTCAGAGCACAGTACAAGCCTACGTCACTACAGCTTTTTGCAAAAAATTATTTATTTAATAACCACATACTTAGAAGAAGCATTTCATTACAACAGCATTGACATAGTCAATAACAATTTCCTGAGCTAAGATGCATCTCTTTCAAAAGTGGCTGTAAATTTTTAGGTTTACAGTTGAATTAATACACTTATACAATATTGAACTCAGTATAGACACTGTAAGACATAAAATTGAATGAGTTTTTAACTTTTAAAAAGGATCTCCATTTCATTTTAAAATATGCTGTTTCTTACAGAAAAACTCATTGTTCTTGCTACTAACACTGAGATGTTGGTACATGCATCTCTAATCTGTATGTATCTGATTATTACTGGT